GGGACACCCTGTACGTAAAATTTAATCTTTATACTTAATAAAGAAAAATTAGTACATATTATTGTTTTTTTATGCGTTATATGCTTTACAAAATCTTATTACCTAGGTACTTTTAAAAATTACCCATATTTATATATCAAATATAATATTAGATCATTATGCTTTGTTTTAGCACGAATTTTATAATAAACCAACTTTGTGTTTTCACTTTCATTTTCAAGGGTAGCGACACCTGTGAGAGAGTATACAAACTAATTATAGTTAAAATTGTTAGAAATATCTTGTGTATAGGTAGGAAACTCGACAATTCTGGTTTAGATACATAATAAAAGTCGTGTGTAAAATGTTGTCATTTTACTTGAGGACACAAATTATAGAATTATAAATAAATATTAATCTGAAAATTAAATACAAATGATCATAGGTATCCGTTCTAGTGAGTGAAGTAGTTTGGTTATTGTGCCTGACCTAGTTCCGTCGTAAATGCAATATATTGACAGACTAACAGTATGGTTAAAATTGAGGTAATTTGGCATTTATTTAAATTATTCTTCTGTTCTCATGAGCATTGAAATTTATCTCACTCACTAGCGGGAACCATTGCGAATACATTGATATATAATAATATTCAATGTTAGTTTCTTCGATGATTTGTGTCCTCATCTGAAGCTCTGTTACACGGTAAAAATATACATACTAAATCGCCCCCTTAAAGAGAAATATGAGAAAATATTTTAAACTGCGCCCATTCTATCAGAAGAAAAATGACAAGAAATATTTGTTTAAAACTTGTTTAAATAAGTTAGGCACACTTTATCAGAGAAATAAGTAGTTAAGCAGTGGGCATTCTAAGCCACCTCAAGGTCACCACCGGGCTGCCACCATCAGAAGCTAGCACCAGGTCTCCAGCAGCAACTCCAAGGTCACGCTGAAGAAGTGTCAGTGGGGTGCGGGGGTGGGGGATCTGAATTGCAGAAGAAGAAGCCGGGGTCCGTCATCGGCAATGACCACCAGGAGGTCGGCATCGAGGAGCGTGACGTCAGAGGTGGCAGCAGGTGCGTGCATAAGCAGCGGCGGGGGACAGCGGGGTGCAGGCGCGTGTGGCGGCAGCGGGGTGCCGGCGTGTGGGGTAGCAGCGGGATGCCGGCATGCGGGGAGGCAGCGGGATGCCTGCGTCATAGGGGGGAGCAGGTGGCCGGATACGGCCTGCGATGCTGGAAGCCGGCAGCGGGCTGCGGGGGGCGGCGGCAGCGGCGACGGCCTATTGGTACCAATCTTTTTATTATAAGCTAGAAAATATAAGAAACGAGCGAGTGTGTGGGATTAAGATAGCTACATGGTGATGTAACTTTCCTGGAATATGGCCACAGCTGTGTATGACTAATACCAGATAAGATGTTAATATAAACAAAGCGGAGGCTTCAGATAAAAATCGACTAAAATTACTCATGACAAAAATATTATTTAAAAAATAAATCCAGTGTCGAATAACAAATATAAGTTGTTCACTTTTAGCGTTTGCTTTGATACTCTCTTGGATGCATAAAAGTTTTATTTTTCTATGTAAACAAACATATTTCTCCGGCTTCATATCAGAACGTGACTATAAAGTAAACAAAATTTAATCATCGTTATTATCGCATAAAATAATATTACACCGACAATCGAATATTTTCGTATAAATATGAGTTGTGAAAGGTTAGTTTATGTCATTATTAGAGTATGCATATACAGGGTGTCCACCGAAAGGTATGTTTTAAATGGATTTTACATTTGAATTATTTGACAAAATTATAGCAGCTATTTTTTATGGTAGAGATTGGCATGACTCACGTTCTTGCAAACAATGATGACGTCATCATTATTTCCAGCCCAGGTGTTGTTTTTATTACAGTTATGTAAACAAAATGTATGATTTATTACCCTTTTCTTGGAATTTTGTCTGGCTTTTAAGCAGTTTTGTAGTAAACAAACTTCAAAGGCGGTATGCGCCATAATTTTTTCTCGGAAATTGATATATAGATGTATTTCTTGGAAAATACGTGACCAAAGCGTTGTTTATATTACCGTTATGTAAACAGATATATGATTTATTACCCTTTTCTTGGAATTTTGTCTGGCTTTTAAACAAGTTTCAACCTGTAGCTGTGGTCCTAGCGTGGGAACTTGTAGATAAGCGGGTGATGAAATGTTTCATAATGTTGCATAATGTTGTGCAATGGCTTTTACCGCCCCGCGTTTCAGAGGATTTTGTTGCAAAACTAGATATAACCGGAAATAGCAGAACGCGTCGACTATAAAAGCCTATGGACTCGGAAAAGGTCTCATTTGCTTTCGAAATTTGTTCGAGTGCACGTGATTGTTTTGTTTGCTTTTCAAAGTCGTGTTAAACTTTTTTTATTGAAATATAAAATGTCAGTTGCCGAGACCGTTTGTGATATCAGCTGTAAAATTATTAAACTGACCAAAAAATCGTTGACTGTTGAAGACCGATGACGAGATCAACAGACACATCAAAATTATAAATAAAAACATTAATTTATTAAACGATGCAATCAAAATTAAAATTCACAAAATTGATAAGAACGAGAATATATTCCGTTTGGAAAACAATTTGGCGGTGCTGAAATATTATCGTGAACAGCTAAAACAACTAAAAAATAAAAATAAAGTGTCCGGAGGTTCGGTAGTGCGTCCCAACAAGAAGAATTTGGTGTGGCAAGATGTAAAATCATGCTTCAAGAGTCGTGTGCGGTCGGGAATCATCGTGAACGTTAGTCTCAAGGAACCTAAACAGTTTCTAAAAAAATCATTTCGTAGTTTTTCTATAAAAGCGAAAAATGCCTTAGAGGACTCGTTAATTAAAGTAAATTTAGTTTTTGAGGGAAATTTCGTACAATTAAATGACGGGGAAGTAGATTTAAAATCATTCGGGACAAAAAATGAAATTATTGACCGCAGTACAAATATAAAACAGTGGTGGGAAGACAATGTTGTTCAACCTGTACTACACAAACTCGAAAGCTTTGAACATCGTAATAGCGGCTGGACTTTGTTGGAAATTATCGGGTTACATGTAAATATAAATAATTATTCACCAATTACCGTGGGCTCGTCAACGTACGTTGAGATGCCTGAATTCATTAAAAGAAAAAGGTGTGTTGTTAAAGTAAAGAATAATGATGAATATTGTGTTTTATGGAGCATAGTATCTGCTATACATCCAGTTAAAGCACATGCAGATAGAATTTGGTCATATCCCGATTTTCGTGACATATTAAAATTTGATGACATAGAATTTCCTATAACTTTAAAACAAATTCCAAAATTAGAGCGTCTAAATAACTTGGCAATTAACGTGTACGGTATTGATAAGAAGGAAGTCCTGCCGGTACGTTTGAGTAAAAACGATAGCAAACGAGTTATAAATTTACTGATGGTCCCGGCAAATTCGGTTCAAGATAGCGACAACGATGACGATGAAACACCTGTTTATCACTTTGCGTGGATAAAAAACATGTCGCGCTTATTATTCAAACAAATATCTAAACACCACGGTCAACAACATATTTGCAATCGTTGTCTTAATCATTTCACAGAGCAGCGTCTTTTAGATGATCACTTAATATATTGCAATTATAAAACAAATAGTTGCAAAGTAGAGCTACCAGGTGAGCAAGAAAAATTTTTACAATTTAAAAATTATCGTTTTAAAGAGAGGGTACCGTTCGCCGTTTATGCAGATTTTGAATGCATTTTGGAACCGTGTGATGAGAATACTGATCTAAATTTAAATACTCAAAATGGACAAAAACATACTGCGTTTAGTGTCGCCTATTATCTTAAATGTTCATATGATGATAGTCTCTCACGTTTTAAATTGTATCGGGGTAGTGATTGCCAGGAGTGGTTCGTCCGGGAACTTGAACATATTGCCGACGAGGTGAATAACATCCTATCTCACCCGAAGCCCATGGAGCCTTTGACTGCCGCGCAAAAATTCGAACATGACATCGCGAAATTTTGTCACATTTGAGAAAAACCGTTTACCAATTTCGATATCAAAATTATAGACCATTCACATTTAAATTCGGTCTACCGGGGGCCTTGTCATAATTCTTGTAACTTAAATTATACGGACAGTCACGTTATACCGGTCGTTTTTCATTGCTTGTCTTCTTACGACAGTCACTTAATCATACGTCACTTGGCTACGTCATTTGAGGGCAACATTTTACTTTTACCACTAAATAAGGAAAAATATATTTCCTTCACAAAAGATGTAAAGGATACCAGAATTAAATTGAGATTTATAGATTCTTTCCGGTTTATGGCTGACAAAATTAAAAAATTGGCCTCATACCTCAATGACAGCCAAAAAAGAATCACTAAATCTCGTTGTGATTCGGAGGAGACTTTTCGTCTTAGACCAGGAAAGGTGTTTTTCCTTACGATTATCTAAATTCGTGGGAAAAATTAAATGACACAACATTACCGACTAAAGACGATTTTTATAGTAAACTGACTGACGAAGCTGTTTCAGACAGCGAGTACGAGCACGTTACAAATGTCTGGAATACATTTAATATTCAAAATTTGGGGGAATATTCGGACTTGTAACCTGAAAACTGACGTTCTACTTTTGGCTGATATTTTCGAAAATTTCCGTGAAAATTGTCTAAAAACTTACGGTCTTTAGCCTTTACATTATTATATCTCCCCCGGTCTGGCCTTTGATTCCATGCTCAAAATTACTAAACAGACATTAGAATTACTGACGGACATTGACAAAGTTTTAATTATCGAGAATGGGATTCGAGGTGGCGTAGCCCAAGTGTCGAACCGGTACTCAAACGCTAACAACAAGTACATGGGTTAGGCATACAATCCGGACGAACCTGACAAGTACATCATGTACTATGATGTAAATAACTTATACGGCGCGGTGATGTCTCTTCCCCTTCCAACCGGGGATTCGAGTGGGTACCCATCGATCAATTCTACAACTTGAATATAACCGATTTAGCAGATGATGCTGAAATCGGTTATATTTTAGAAGTGGACATTGAGTACCCGCCCGAACTTCATGAACTCCACAAAGACTTACCCCTGTGCCCGGAACAAATGGTTCCCCCAGGAGGCAAACAATCAAAATTACTGACAACACTTTTTTCGAAAACCGGTTACGTTATCCATTACAGACAATTGAAACGGTGTATTGAGCGGGGATTAAAGATTACTAAAGTACACAAAATTCTTAAATTCAACCAATCGGCTTGGTTACAAAAATACATAAATTTAAATACGGATTTACGGAAACAGGCGACTAACGAATTTGAGAAAAATTTCTATAAATTAATGAATAATTCTGTCTTTGGTAAAACCATGGAAAATGTGCGAAAACATAAAGACGTTAAACTGGTCACACAATGGGAGGGTCGATATGGGGCAAAAAATTTGATCGCGAAACCAAATTTTCACAGTTTAACAATTTTCGATGAAGACATGGTTATAGTAGAGATGAACAGACTCAAAATTAAGTTCAACAAGCCGATTTATGTTGGATTTAGTATTCTGGACCTTTCCAAAATTATACTTTACGATTTCCATTACGATTATATTAAACAAAATTTCGGCAATCAGGCTAAATTATTGTACACGGACACTGACAGTTTAATATACGAATTCACGGACATTGACATTTACGAGAGCATGAAGAGAGACATCCAGCTGTTTGATACATCAGACTACCCCGAAGATAATGCGTACGGTATGCCTCGCGTCAACAAAAAAGTACTAGGTCTTATGAAAGATGAAAGCTGTGGGAGAATAGTTACCGAGTATGCCGGGCTCAGAGCTAAAATGTACTCGTATAAAGTCGAGGGAAAACCCTCAAATATGCGTATCAAAGGACTTACTCGATCAGCCGTAAAACACATTACTTTCGAAGATTTCACGAATTGCCTATTTAATCAAAACACACTGGTTAAAGAGCAGAGACTTATACGTTCCAAACATCACGATTTATATACAATTAAACAAAATAAATTGGCTCTCAGTCCGTACGATGACAAGCGCATAATAAATTACGTCACCACAGACACGATCCCGTGGGGATATAATTTCCAACAAGCAGCGACTTGTTCGACCACTCCCATGGAGTTCTAAGTCGAAATAAATAGCGCGATATAGTAAACGTTGACATCATTTGTCTTTCTACCGTTGTTCGCGATGGCCGACTTAGACATTCAATTGCAATACGAACTTGTTAAAATTTCACAAAAGACTTACGAAGATTTCCTTCAAAAAGCCATTTTTGACGATAATTTTCAATTAATTGACAAAATTCTGGAAAAAATCGTGATTCCCGACCGTGCAATATATTGGCTAGCTTTGCGCGATAAATGTAACATCGGGTTGATGAAAAAAATCTTTGCCAAAAAACTTCAATACGATATATTTATCGAACAACTGCAAAATATTTTCCAAAAGGAATATATGTCTCATATTAGCCTCGATATTTTACGTCAAATTATAAAGAGTCATTATCCAATATTAAATTCATTTAATCGGTATTATTTGGAAAAATTATTGGTCAACGGTGATCCGTCATTGGTCGATCGACATAGTCAATGTTTCTCGGCAAAAAATATTTTTCTAAATTACAAAGAAATCGATTGGTCAATAGATAAGGCCGTTTGTGAGGCCGCCTACTTTACTCAATATAATTTTTTGGAAACTTTGCACCGGGTAATTAAAGAAAATAATTTAATTTTTAAATTAAATGTAAAAACTAATGAAACACATAGGCAGCTGATGGTATGGCTCCAGGAGAACGTCTCCAAGGGTACCAATGGTCAAGGTGTTGGATGGTCATCTGGCCCAGACAGCAGCAAATGGCCATCAAAATTAGTTGGAGATTATTCTCAGACATTATATATGTTAAATAAATATTATTTGTATATTTTTTTTTGTTATTGTATTGTATATAGATATTGTTTTTTGTAAATATATTATATATTAAGGAAAAAATGTATTATTTAATTAATAAATTTATATATTTTTATATTTGTGTTTTATTTCTCTTTAATTTTAAGTAATAATAATAAAAAACATTAATATTGTTTAAATATGAGTGTGACAAGGAAAAAATAAAAAGAGAAAAATATTCAATAAAAAAAACATTAATATTCTTTAAATATTAGTGACAATGAAAAAAATTATAAAGAGAAAAATATTCAATAAAAAACATTTATTTTGATAACAAATGGTAATATAATAACATAATAATAATATAATAATAAATAATAATTAATTTTAAAAATATATGAAATACATTATTTTTGCCCCGCTGTGGTGCTGGTCTCTAGGCATCCGTGGGCTTCTAATAGCCTACGGTACAGCTCCTTGTCTGTAACAATTTTTAGATATAATTTTTTAAATATTGAACAAACATACCTTTTCATATTTCTCGAAATGGGATTAGTTTTGGAGGTACATCTTGCTCCTCCTTCTCCTCCTCCTCTTTATTTGTTTTAATCTTTAGTATATCCCATACATATGGTGGGACGGTGCACAATTTGCATGTGCATAATTCTCCATTTAACAATTCGCTCATTGTAATAACTCTGCTCACTCATTGCTGCTACAGTGTATTAGTAGTAACACTGAATTGGATTTATGCTATCAGACGCGCGTTTAGCGTCTCACTCCCCTCTCTCCCTCCACCACTTCTCTCTCCTCACCCCACCCCACTCACTATTCGAGAAATGAAACACACAAAGTTCAGCAATATTTTTCCACTTTATTTAAAATAAATAAATACAATCATCAAGCTTATCTCTATTAACAATATACCATTTATATATAGCATATACATTCTGTCTAGTGCAGCGTAAATTATTAATTTTATGTCTATTACAATGAAATTTTAAGCTAGATATCATTAAATCTTTTATCCTACTACAGTCATACGGCTCCAAGTCAATAATAATATTATTAGGTAAATGAGGCTCCAGCCATCTCTTTTTCTCCAATCCTTTCACGAGGACAGGCTGCTCCTCGTCTCCGAGTCCACTGTACGGTAAATTATCCCACGATGACGACCATCTAAGACCATGTACGTGATTCACAGTCCAGTCGATTTGGATTTGTACACTCTCCCTGAGATGTTTATAGAGAATTTTTGGCTTGACTATTCTATTCACACAGGATCTATCGTTAATGTTAAAAATGGAAATTTCCTTGCATGTGAAAGCCAATTCTTTTTTGTATTGAAATCGATTATGTACATAGCTACTAATAAGTGCGAACTATGCTCGTCAGAGGGTTATAGTACACGATCCTATCGTGAATTATAAGACAATAGGCTGCGGTCTCCTTCGGGATATTGTCATTAGTACCGAATTCCAGTCTAATGTCCACAGTTCCCGACTTTAGAACCTCATTCTGACAGGAACAATCGACGACTACCAGAGGAGCCATATACTTGTACGTATATGTAGTTAGAAAAGGCTCACTATCCTTCTGATAGTATGAATGTTGAAATTGAGCATACATGTCATACAGGATGGCATAACAATTCTTTGAAAAATCCACATTCAAGTTATCGTACGGGTACGAATCGGAATTTAGAAAAACCTTGAAATTGGTCAAATTGCAATGATCAAACTGGCTCATGGCCTTATCAATCTTATTCTTACGGGCCACTTGGAAGCCGAAAATTATGAATCGAGGCTTCTCCAGCTGTGAAGAAGTTTTTATGCTCCAAGTATGTGTCCGGGTCTCGGTAAGCAAGGGGTACTCGTGCAGTTCCCAGCTACGGAAAGGCACAGCCAATTCTACGTTTCTGTCGATATATTTCAACAATTTCAAACGTTCCGCATCAGCCACCGATACGTGTGGCACCTTCCATGAAACACTCTGTAGTTGTACACGGAGACCCTCATCGTCGCCAGCAACGCCCACGATGGCGTTCGTATCAGTGGAGCCGCGAATAAGTACCAGCTCCTGTCTCAAATTGACGATAATTTTCTGGAAATCTTCCCCGAATCCCATGCATATCCTCAGAGGGATGCATACGTCGAAATTGCCCTCGGCATCGGTGAAATGGTCGCTGATAATCCAGCCGGCATTTTCCAACTTTAGGCTTTCATTTTGACTGATTGACACGTAGTTCTTCATGATGGTCGTGAGGCCGGGGTTTCGCGATCTATCCACAGGTATACCATTCAACTCGTATCGGATTTCGTCGAACAGCAGCAAAATGCCCATCCTGTCGAACTTTGCCGTCGCCGAAACCGTGCCATCAGCTTTGCACAGTCTACCTCTGATATACAGGAGACTATAATATGGAGCCGTATACGTATCCTGCTGCTGAATCGGGATGCGGATTTCATCGTTGTTGTTCAAGTTCGTCGCCGAATACGGACCGTGGGAACGCTTCTCGAAATTTACTATGGCGTTATCGAAGAGCGGCTTCTCCAACACGTTTAGAATATTAGAATTCATTGTGAGGTGGGCAGTAGCACTTTGTAGCCCAGAGAGTACAAAATCTTCTTGTTTTGCGATGTGAACCCTTTAAACGTCACAGGTAGACTAATTGATTTCGCTCCAGGTGAGGCTTTTAAAGGTTTTCGGCTGTGACCGACGACAGCGAGCCCAAAGCCACTCCGGATTCTAAGCCCCATTCCTCTTCAGGTGCAGTCTTAACGTGATGACTTCTCCACGGAAATTGATCAAATCCCCGTCTTGATCCACTATTTTAATGGTTACACCCTCGATGCGACGCTTGTTGACCGGCAGGTAGATTACGTTGGCCGGAGAATCTATTATTTTATAGCCAGGACCGACTCTCGGGAAAAATTCGTGTAAGATGTGACCCGGTTGACCGTTAATGAAACTGTTCGAAACGAGATTGCACTCCACACAAATGGCGTTGACTTTTTGAATTTTAATAGGATTATTGGATTCGTGAAACTTGTTCGCCTTTAATTTACGGTTTTTATATCCCAATAATCTACCTATACTGTTGGGTTTGTTGAAATTAATTGTCGTGTTTGCTTTAATTTCACACTTTAACGTATTTTTATTGGATTTTATGGAAACAAACACTAAATTATCGGGGAGATTAGTATCGGTAGCGGTGAGCTCGGCTAAATTACTATTTATGTATGTATTTATATCTTCTATCTCGTAGGATCCCTCCGGTATTTTTATAACTTTATCAGCATCACCGTAATAGAAACGATTATTCGTAGAATCAACATTCGGTATGGAGTGGTAGGCTAGAAAGTCCGTAAGCCCGATTACATATTCAGCATCGTCCTCGAGCTCAATAGGCGGGTAAAACTGCGAACTCAGAATCGATGAATCACCCGATAACGTAAGCGTATATGACATATCAACACACACGTGCACTGTTCTGCTTGGATGACTCACGCCGACTGACCGTGACTTTATCAGCGTGACTCATTATATAGGAATTTCAGACACAGATGTCCACAATTCACCGTATCATACGTCTGATATTGTTTATGATTATATTTGACGCGACATGACTTTAGATATTTTAATAATTCCACATGCGGTCCAAATTACCGAAACTTTCAAAATATACGGCTTCAGGTCTTCTCTTGCAATATGCCGTCCAATGAGTACCTGCACCGCTGTCACTGTCCAAATTCAAGATCCCACACTCGTTTTTATGTACATTTTTAGGTCATCGGTCCCTCATATAGACGCCTCTGAAGTGTGGAATTTCCAATAATTTTGCGTATTTAAGTAAATCTTGATCGGTGAGGGCGCGATTCGGTTGTTTTTCTAGTCATTTGCCGGCCTTCTTGATCTTGTTACAACACTTCTTCTTCGTCTTTTTCATATACAGTCCAAGTCCTTGTCTATAGAGACCTTTGCCGAGAGCTATTGCCTCCATTTTTTCGTTGTGACGTTGAGATTCCTTAAGCTGGGTGGCTGCATTCCGAGCATCGTTTACAGGCTTGGCGATGCCCGCAGCTCCACCAGACAGAGCACGGAGAGCGCTAAGTCCCGCAAATATGGGAATCAGAGGCAGGAGACCGCCGGTCTTTGGAATTAGAACTACGCGGGCCTTTGGATGTGATATGCCTCCGGTGGAGGCCTTCTTCATGCGTTCGGCTACTCGAACTGCCTTCTTCACGGCATCCTCAACGGTGCTGGCCCGACGTAAAGCTTTGCGGATTTTATCGAAAACTTTACGGAATGTTAGAGCCCCACCGGATTTTTTCACAGGCTTCTTCCTCTTGGGCTTCGCGATCCCCCAACCCAATTTAACTTTAGCAGCCATGGCTCCGGCTACTCCCGCAGCGGCTGCCCTCTCAGACAGTGAGGAATCTTTCGCGAACACCCTCTTCAGAGCTTGATGGGCTAATTTTCTGTCTGCTACGTTTCTGCCCGCCACGTCGGACACTTTAGTGTACTCGATGTCGTGGCCCTTACATGCGTTATCAAGGCCGTTTATGCCTTGGTCGCCGCGATCAAGTCTCTTGGCCAACTTGGTGCCGGGGCCACAGAAACGATACCCGGGAATATGCGCTTCGAAAGGTAACTTGTTGATCAGAGAATTGAAAAGTGCCATGTTACCTGTACCACGTACGCGAACAAACTAAGGTGCGCCAGGTGAGAGCTACCTATTTATAGTCGGTGCATACCTGTCTTTCTGTTAGTATTGACCATGCGCTTCAAGAAAGAAGTTGCGACAGGTGGTAGTCTCGAAATCGAAAACATCGATTTCGTGGACAACGGCGATAAGCAATTCAAAAAACATAGGCCCCTGCCACATAGTCTTAGATGTATTATATGTGGACCTTATCTGGAGAAGATGCTCGATTCACTTGTTGAATCCAGTCAGTTCAAGGACAGCGACGACATATTACCTCCAGCCCAAGCTAAATTTGACTCGGTGTTTATCTTC